TATATATATATATATATTGCAATTTATTCACTAGTGATATTTTCTACAATGTCCCCTTTTTACACGTTGGCATTTAAACATCTGTTTAAACGAGGCTTCAATAACAGCATAGTGAATATAATCTCAAACGAGTACAATATTTTCTAAGATTCTCTTTAAAACAGTATTAGTATTGCTGGTGTCAGAAATTAGCTACAACTTACATCACTATTTCATAACAATCTAGAATTGTGTCGCGCAATTTTTAAACGTGAGTGCTTTCTGTATCAACTGATAACATATTGTTATGCAATTTAAATTATACTTTACATTATTCACTATCGATGCTCGTATACAAGGCTATATCCGTCAGAAGACAATGTTATCATTGGCTTAATTGTCAAAGCAATAACTGAAAATAATCATCATTGTATAAGAATATTTATTTATTCTATATATAGTCTCTTTTCGCATTAAAATTTTCTTGAAGGAGAAACATGCTTTGAATTATTATATCAAAGTTCTTTGTAAACACTTAGAAATTTACATAAATTTATTACCGGGAATTTTCTTCATTACTATAATATATAGTACATTCCATCTTATAACGTCTTTAACATAAATAAGAAGTCACTAGAACGTCCTTCCCAGATAACAAAAAATATCTAAAATCGGGTCATAAAACGTTTCTTGCGTCTAAAAGATGACTTAAAGACGTCTTATGTCACAATTTTAGACTTTGTGTTGTTGGGATTGCTTGTGAGTCCATATTTACATTATTTCATTTTTAAATTTCATTATTTTCCTAAGATATAACATAAGATATAACATATCAACATACGTATTTTAGGAAAGTAATACGTAATTAGAGAATATCGTGTAAAACACGAATTATCTCATACGAAGTATTATGCAGAGATTCATTTTGTTATCTCGTTTCTAAAGTCATTATCCCCAATCGTTAACTTCAAGACATACGACATGAATGATAAATCGGTCGGCACGACCTTCGTATTTCGATCTTCGCTGGAAAACATTAAATATTAGAAAATAAATGTGCCTATTATGTAACAATGGTATATTAATCAGGTCAATGTGATTACGCTAGATCTTTTTCTTTGTAAAGCTATTTTCGTAACTCGGATCGAGTGTCTTATTAGCAGAAAATAAAAATTTCAATTAGTTAAAAATTATGCTTTTACTTTAGAACAAAGTTTTAAGTTTGAACCATGAAATTATTCAATTTGAGAAATAATTATCATTTTTTATTATATGTAATTTGATTTTTTATGTAAGTCTCTTTATGTGTCAATAAATTTATTTCAAAATTTGCGAAAATTATTATTCTTAATAAGTTATTATTCTTAAAAATTATTATTCTTAAGGCTCTTGAGTAGTCACTTCAGCCATATTGAATCGTGACATCATAAGCGAGAAATGACGTTGATTTTTCTTATACATATCATTTGTAAATAAAGAGAATTTGGATGAAACGAAATGATGAGATCGCTTTAAAACACTTGTAAAAATGGACGAAGACTCTCCTTATCTTCCCTGATAGTCAGTAAAGAGTCGAAAAAGACTCATGAAGTAAAAATACGCATGCGCATTGAGTAAAAACTAGTAAACGCACTTTACGTGCCTTTTACAACTATTTACTAACTCTCAAGGGAGATAAGGATAGTTTTTGTCCATTTTTGCAAGTGTTTTAAAGCGATCTCATCATTTCATTTTATCTAAATTCTTTTTATTTACAAATGGCATGCAAGAAAATCAACGTATCGTTTATGACACATTTCTCGCGTATGACGTCACGATTCAATATTGCTGGAATGAGTACTCAGGAGCCTTAATACTCTAAATTGATAAAGTGAGCTAAAATTAGTTAACATAAAATATTTTTTTTATTTTTATGTTAAACATTCATATTTAATTTTGATATTTTATTATAAAAGAAATGACATTTTCTTCTTTAAAAATTTTTAGAAAGTGAAGTATCCCAAATCGGTATTTTTCATTATCAGCAATGAATTCTGCGAGAGATTTTCTTATTATGGAATGCGCAGTGAGTATATAAATTATAAATCGTCAACGTCAATTTAAGTATTAACCTCAGACATATTATACAATTTATGTAGTTTAAAAACGATGCTACGATAATTAGAACAATTGTTCCTTTGATTATAATTCTCGTTACTAGGACAATTTTTAATTGCAACCATATAATAAACTTCTCTAATATTTTCTATAAATTGGCAATTGTATAAATTGTTTGGATACAATTCAATCTTTCTAACATGTGTTATCGTATATATAATAAATTGTAATAATCTCAAATAACAAATGTGATATTTTCTGAGATTCTTATGTGTTGTATGTATCATTTTTATTTTTATAACATTTATTTTTTTAACAGAATAATGTTATTATATTATAATTATCTTCTTAACAAGCTTAATTATCTTAATTATCTTCTAAAAAAAATGTCAAATATAAAAAATTTATAACATAGGGCCGAAGGAGAGATATTTAATTTAGTTTTATTTATAATTCTAAAATTCTGATATACTGAAAAATAATTCTAACATTGATCTTGAATCTGATTAATACATACATAATTTAATTATGTATGTAGAAGATATTAACGCGAAATTATCTTTTTTTATTTTTAGCCGTTCTGTCGCTGTATTTATTTAACATGTTGGGATACAGTGAAAGTACATCTACAATAATCTATCATGTCTTCAGCAGTCTCGTCTATTTCTTTCCGTTGATTGGCGCGATCATATCCGATTCGTGGCTTGGAAAGTTCAATACCATTTTTTATTTAAGTATTATTTACTCACTTGGACAAGTGATTCTATCTTTAAGTGCGGCAACTCCCATCGGATTGCCCGCAAAGTCAGTATAAAATATTTAAAATAACATTGAAAATTAGCACGCACAGATATTATTAAAAAAAACTTTTCTGTATCTAGAATTACATTTGAATTTAAACATTATTCGGATACAATTTAATTTTAATACCATTTAAGTGCTGTTAATTTTTAATAGGTTTTAATTTCTGGTAACAAAAAAATAAACTTTTTTGAACTTTGCAGAGAATTTTCCATATTAGGTTTAGTCCTAATAGCGCTTGGTACAGGCGGGATAAAACCTTGTGTGTCAGCTTTCGGAGGCGACCAGTTCGTTTTACCTCAACAAGAAAAGCAGTTGGCGATGTTCTTTTCCCTTTTCTACTTCTCTATTAACACAGGCTCTCTAATCTCAACTATACTAACTCCGGTGATTCGTAAGACAGAGTGCTTTGGCACTGATTGTTACTTCGTGGCATTTTTGGTACCAGCCATTCTAATGATTATATCAATTGGTAAGAATGAAAAAACATGAAATATATCTCTCATTTATACTGATGCAGTTTTTAAATTAATGTTATTTTAATTTTTATTTTTAGTTGTATTTGTCTTGGGGAAAAGAATGTACAAAATGGTCAATCCTACGGGCAATCTCATCGTTAAAGTTACCAAATGCGTTTGCGTAAGTCATATATCATAAAAATCTTAAATCTGAAAACTCAAGATAAATCTAAATGCCACCTGCAGGCTTAGACTGCAAAAACTGAAAGACAGATTATTATTTAACAATTTACTAGACAATCGAAAATAGCTTAGAACGTATAAATAAAAAAAATATATATATATATTTTTTTTTTTATTTAAACGTTTTTAATATAAATTTTTTCATATACAAATAAAACGATACTCTTGCGTGACTGTAAAATAATTTTATTACCTGTCTGTATTGTACAATTTAAAATGCTGGCAAATATAAATCCTAATTCTTGGAATTTGTGAACTCTTGAATGCGAAAATTGACGAATTTATAAATATTTCTAGAATATTATATGTAGATCTACAAATTTTTGTATTTTCTGTCATAAAAATAAGAGTCCTTAATTAAAATCTCTCTTTTATATGTTTAATTCTCTAAATTTTTAACTAATTCATGAAAATTTGAATTCCGAAATCTCTTAAGATAAACGTACTCTTTTTATGTTTCAAAAAACCAGCATGCAATCTGCAATAAAATTAAAGGCAAAGGAGAAAAACGCGATCATTGGCTCGATCATGCCGATGATGTTTACGACAACAAACTAATCGAAGATATCAAAGTCGCACTGCGAGTCTTGAAACTGTTCGTACCATTGCCAATATTCTGGGCGCTTTACGATCAACAAGGTTCTCAATGGACTTTCCAAGCAACACGAATGGATGGCCAAATAGGCAGTATCGTAATACTGCCTGATCAGTTACAGGCCGTCAATCCGTTGTTGATTATCATTTTTATACCAATCTTTGAGACTGGTATCTATCCGATTTTTGCCAAAATACATTTCATTGATACGCCCTTGAAGAAGCTTGTTGTCGGCGGTCTCTTGGCCAGCGTTGCTTTCGTCGCAGCCGGTATTGTTGAAATAGAACTCGAGGTAGTAATAAAGAGAAATTTTGTGTATATTATTCGAAATTGTTGATATCTATATGTAATGAATGCTTATTTAAATTCTTTTAAAGATATGGAAGTTTTTTAATATATTATCACGTATTAATATCTTGTCAAATCCGAATTATGTAATAACTAATGCTACGATCCTTACATGAAGAATGTGATGTTTTATATTTTGATTTCTAGAAAACGTATCCACAGTTACCGACAAACGGATTTGCTCAAATCCGAATTTTTAATACAATGAATTGTACAGTGAGTGTAAAATTAAATCAAAATAAGATAGATATAATAAACCCACCACTAAATATGTCAGAAGTTTTAGAAGTAAAAGTAAACGGATCTACTGAAATATCCTACAAAGCAGATTTCACAGACTGCTACGATAATGGTTACACATCGACGAAAAATGAAGAAGGTAAAATTCATGAAGTTTGGATTTCGAAAAATGTAACATGTATTTTAAAAATAATTCCTCTCATCAGGTAAAAATTCTGTCAAGGAGGCCAGTGCAACATCTTGGGTTATAACGCCCTTGGGATTAAAATATCATTATGAAGACATGGTGAACAAACCGGAGAATGGTAAACCGATGGTCCGCAGTCTCATCTATCTTGAATCTGAAAGTAACGCCACATTAAAGTTGCTCCGTAAGGACGAAAACAAGACGGTAGTATCAATTCCGGTCAATTTAAAATTCTCCGAATCGGAGTTAAAAGAAATTGAGGATCCAAGTGAATATGACGTCTACCTAGACGAAACACTGCTAGACAAGAATGTGCCTTTCAAATCCGGTGGAGTGTACACCGTGGTAGGTTCCAAAGTTATGTATAATAACAAACCGAAGATTGTTGGCAAAACAGTCACGGTTACGCCACCCAATTCGCTGCATATGGCTTGGATGTTGCCGCAATATGTCATCATCACAATGGCCGAGGTGATGTTCTCTGTAACAGGTCTGCAGTTTGCTTTTACTCAAGCTCCAGTATCCATGAAGTCTCTACTGCAAGCGGGTTGGTTGCTGAGCGTGGCCTTCGGCAATCTCATTGTAGTGATCGTAAAGGGTGCGCATCCCTTTGAGCGGCTAGTAAGTAACCAAATCAATTATATATTCTATTTTTGGCTTTAATATTCATTTTTTCTCATTTTCACATTTCATACGATTTATTTATTTATTCCACAGGTGTACGAGATTTTCCTATATGCCGGCTTGATGGCGGTGGTAATGGTGATATTTGGCGTCATGACTATATTCTACAAATACGTGGAAATACCAGAGGAAGAAGATAATGATGTAGTGTCCATACCCTTGGAAGAAAAGAATGGGAATGTCAATTTAGCCTATAAAGATGATGAAAAACGATGAGGAATAACTAAGTGAGAAATAATAATTTTCATATGCATCCTTATTCGAAGAATAAGAATACGTGCCGAAGATACAAAGGATTGTTCCAACATCAAGGGTCTATTCTATTGAGCATCTATGTTACCCTCGAGAGTATGACAAGATATAGAAATTATTATTTTAAATATAATCTCACTCTCCAATCTTTCTTTTTTTCATAAAAATAATTATGTCAGACTGAAGGTGTTCATTGTATAACAAATCTGGAAGTTCATGGAGTGAGAAACAGTATATTTTATGTATTTCAAGATAACATTTAAAATTTTAGAAATTGTAAATAAGAAATCTTAATAGTTTTTATATTTTTACAAAATTAAAGCAAAAGTAGCAAATTATTATTAAAATTATACCAGTGCTGTGAATGATATGATGAAAATTAATTATAAAACTGAAAAATTTTAAATTAAAAAGTTAATTAATTAAATTATGTAAATAGTATAAATGAGAAATTTAACAAGCGAGCGGAAGTGATTAAATTGAAATGAAAAATAAAAAACTTTTGCTTACCGAGCTACTTTGCCTGTTAAAAGTAGACAAGGATATACAAGACTTTTGAAATTAATAGTTTTAAATGAAAACTGTACATAAATATTTTTATACAAATTCAAAATTTTACTGTATAAATGTGTTTGCAAAAAAAAATAATAAGCAATGATAATTATATTTAATTATTTAAATTGTATAAAATAAAATTAAAAAATTACTAAAAACATGTTGAAATATATTCAAATTTTTAAGTGATCAAAATTGCGTATGAACATTTATATAATCTGAATTATACATTATAATTTATATAATAACATTTATTTCCATAAATCCGGCTAAATTTCCATAAGCTCTAGCACAACGTAATAATGCGTGTCATATAAGATAAGAATTTCGAAAGTGCAGTAATTGAATAATCACATCGTGTAAATCTTATCACGGAACATCCTTTTATGAAACATCAATTCGATATACATTAAATATTTTACGATTTTACGCACATGCTGGGGGGGTGATTTTTTTTTATATTAAGAGAATCATCGGTAGGTAATGCCTTCTTGCTTCTGCACCGATATTCAAAGTGGTGACGAACCGAATTGCAACTCTTCAGATGCATGTGCAAAATCCGTATAGGCTACTAATGACTTCAGCTCTAAATCATAAACTCGCCCCTTTGTTTTAATAAATATACAAATGGAACAAGAACAACTAATTTATCTATACGAGGGTAGATCAAATATAAACGAGAATTTTTTTGGTAATTATTTAGAATATCCCCCCCCCCCCCCCTCAAATCTTAATAAAAATACACTTATTCGACGTATTTTCACTCGAAAGCATCTGGCAAAAAAACCGCGGCGGTCGGCCTCGTGAATACAGTTATTAAACGTTATAAAGTTGGAAACTTTAGAGATTAAGATAACTGTCATCCCGATTCGATACGGTTCTATGTACATATACGTTCTATATTAATTACACAAATTCACTGCTTTAAAAACAAATTCACCGCTTTAAAAACACAAATTCTCTGCTTCAAAATATAAATTCACTGCTTTACAAACAAAAATTCACTGCTTTAAGCACACAAATTCTTTGCATTAGCAGTGAATTTGTGTTTGTGAAGCAGAGAATTTGTGTTTCTAAAGCAGTAAATTTGTGTTTTTAAAGCAGTGAATTTGTGTTTTTAAAGCAGTGAGTTTGTGTTTTTAAAAGAGTAAATGTGTTTTTAAAGCAGTGAATTTGTGTAATTAATGCAGAACGTATACATTGAGCTGTATTGAATCGGGATGATAAATATCTTAATCTCTAAAGTCTCCAACTTAACGATTAATAACTCGATTCACGAGGCCTCCGCGTTTTTTGTTAGATTCCTTTGTTTTGAGTAAAAACACATCGAATAAGTGTATTTTTATTAAGATTTGGTGAAGGAGAGGGGGGGGGGGGTATCTAAATAATTACCTTTTTTTTATTATTTATTGGACGAGAATAAAAATATAAAGAAAACAAATTATTTTTCCACATAGTTCCCTGCTACATTAATACATTTTTGCCAACGGGTAGGAAGTTTGGCGATCCCGTTTTCATAAAAAGTAGTCGGTTGTGTCTGCAATCAATTGCGCACGAATTCCTCTATACTGACATCGTCCTTGAATCCTTCCAATTCTTTTATCGGCCTGAACAAATGATAATCGCATTGAGACATCTTTCCATACGATTATTTGTTTGAGACGCTAAAAGAATTGGGAGAATACGAATCGTGGTGCGCGATTAGCTGCAGACACAACCTACTATTTTTTATGAAAACGGGATTACCAAACTCCCTATCCGCTGGCAAAAAAGTATTAATGCAGCAGGCGACTATATAGAAAAATGTTTTTTTTTATTTTTATTTTCGTCCAATAAATAATACATAAAAATTCTCGTTTATATTTGATTTATCCACGTATATAAACAATTGGTTTCTAGCCCCCATATTATTTATGCGCAGATAGACTAATAAAGAATTTCATATTTTCTTTTCAAACAATCTATTATCTCTTCCAGACGACCTAAAACTATTTCGCATTATCTCACTCTTTTCTTCTCAATTTCGTCTATTCGTTTTTATTATATGTATTCAGTTCGTTAATTTTATACAGCTACGATCACACAATTCTAACATTCTATGACATAGAGAACATTTTATCACTATGAATATTATTACATACAAAGTGATTCTTAATTTCACCCGATAAATAGACACGTAATATCCGATAGAATATCTTAACTTGTCACCGAGATATTTTTTTACTTTATCGCAATTAAGAATCGCTCGTATAAACAAAGTATTCTTCATTATTTTTTTCCAAATTTCTCATTCTACTGGTTCAGTGTCATCAAAATTCTTTCTGTTAACAATGGAATATTCTATGCATTCTTAGTATTTTTCAATAAGTCAATTAACATTAATCGGCGTAATCAAGAAACTTAACTTTATTCACTGCGTGATCTAAGGAACTCCAATATTATGAGAGATACCGTATACGTTTCGATTGCATCAAAATACAATACTATTTCGAGTCTGCAAATCCAATCCGCGTACTTACCTATCGCCTAATAGACCTACTTAGCAATCCTGTATAGTGTATAGTATATATCCGTTATAAACAAAAAAGTGATTAGTATAAGTTAGTAATTTATTAATATTAAGGGTGTGTGAAGGGTGTTTGAAAGTTTCTGCGCTTCGGATGTAATACTCGATCGTCACGCTTTACATACGCTTGTACGTATTTACTGGCTTGACGTTTAACAGAATCCTCTCTCTGAAACAGATAATCGTTTTCGTGACAATCTCATTCGCATAAACGCAAATCGTCCTTGCATTTAATTATTAAGAAACGCGTTTTTCACGCATCACTTTAAAAGCTCACCGTGTGTGCTCGTATCTTGTCAAATACTTCGCGTGCAGTGTCATAAGCGAACGAACCGACATGGGCGGCCGCGGTGACTAGTTCTGGTAAGATGTGAGCATGATCGGGGTCTCGCCAATGAATGTCCAGAGTTTCGCCAATGAATGTCTTCTTTGATCCTACATTAGAACTCGCTCTATCGGAAGATCTACTCGATTGAGTGGATTGGTATGGAGGATCAACCACAATTCCCTGCGAGGTATTATCGTGCGAGGTGCAGAAATCCTCTGGATAGTCATCCGCATCAGGGAAATATCTTTCATCTGTCATTTCATCCTTTATATAGTCACCTCCGAAACGCACATCGTGATCGTTTCTCGGAGTCGCTGTTGCTGTCGCTGTCGCTGTCACCGTTGCTGTTGCTGTTGCTGCAGCTGTTCCTGTCCCCGCTTCTTGTACGTTCTTGGCCGTCGTCACTTGATCATCGTATTTATCGTTGCCATAGGCCTCAGTGTAAACGTCGGTCGTGTCAGTAACCGATGTGGCGTGAGAGTGGAAGCTTTGTATGAAGTCGTTCAAATCAGTCTGCGACTGGCGACTACACCGCGATTGCGACTTTGAATCGCATTGAGTTCGCACGGTCAGATAACTCGTATGCGAGTTTCTCACGTCGTCATACGAGTTGCTCGCGTTGTCGTGAGTGTTGCACCCAATGTCATCTCGAGGATTTTTCTTACATTCGTTTGATCGCTCTAGGATTGGATTCGAACAGCGAGTATTTTGAAGTTGGTCTGTTATGTATAAATTACGTTTTTTATCAATTCGTTTTTTCAAATCAGCGTTAACGCTCTGCCAATTGAGCTTTGCTAATTCATAATCGGTGTAGATTCTACCGTGAATATCTATCACATAAATGGAGCTGTACCGCGAGTTAAGAAAGCTAAAAGATTCATACTCAGGATTTCCCTCGTTCGCTGAGAAATGTTCTTCGTTGAAGTGCATGAAGCATGTAGGTGTAGGCGAGGGCGACTCTGACAAGAGTTCGAAGCTGGGTGAATCCCGATTGCTGTCGTGTCGTCGTTGCTCGGCAGCGAGCTCCTCAGAATGCGTAAACGATTCATCCCTACTTCCCAAAGTAGGCATCTGAATAATCTCGAAAGCATCGTCGTCTTCCTCTTCTTGATTGCATGAACAAAAACTGGTTTTATCGATATCAGAACACCAAGTATCCCTACGACGACCTTCGTCCAATATTTGGTGCCTAGTAACGGAGCAACTCATACGAAGCTCGTTCTCGAACACCCCCTTAGTTTCATCGTATGGTATTGGGTCCACATGTAGAGGCAAGTTCTTCTGAGGAACAAAATCTTCCCGCATATTACTTCGAGATTGCTCTTTGCCGACGTCACTGTTTATGTTATCAGTAGTTTCTGAAGCTATCAATTGATGATATTTCCTCTTCCTTTTTTCCTCCTTCATGTTTGCACAAATAGTATCTTCAATAAGATGATCAAGCTTTTTCTGTCGCGAAACATCTGCGATATTCACGTTTCGCGACTCGTACATGTGTTCCATTGAAGCGTCATC